GTGTTGTGGGGAATGCATTGGTGTAGGAAGGGTGGTTTGGTGGGGTCTTGGCAAAAGTGAGCGACTCGGGTGTGTGAGCAACTCGCCCATGAAGTACGTTATCTAGAATAATAATACATATAACTTTAGTAAAATAAGCTTTATTATAAGCTAAATATTTATTAACTATACTTACGCTTAAAACTTTACTTTAAGCTTTAAATAATGCTTTATAAACATACTAGGCTAGTTTATGCTAATATAGCCTAGATTATACTTATTATGTAAAGAATTAGCTATATTAGCTATAAATGCTATTTAAGAAGAAAATTCTTACGCATATAGCTTAAGTATAGTCTTAATAATTACCTACTTTTTATTATTACCTAGCCTTTATAAGTTAGCTATAAAATTAGCTTATAAAAGTTATCTAGTGCTATAGTTATTTATTGTCTTTTAAAAAACTTTATATATAGCTGTAGTATATTTCTTTAAAAGTTTTATATTTTATTTAAAAGATTAAAGTGTAAGCTATATCTAATGTTCTTTTAGCATGTCTAAGTAGTGTTATTAATAATGCATTAGTGTAGAAAGAGTAGTTTAGTAGGGTCTTAGCAAAAGTAAACAACTTAGGTGTGTAAGCAACTTGCTTGTAAAGTACGTTACTTTTTATTATTATCTAGCTTTTATAAGTTAGCTATAAAATTAACTTATAAAAGTTATCTAGTGTGTTAGTTATTTATTATTTTTTTTTTTAAAAAACTTTATATATAGCTATAGTATATTACTTAAAAAGTGTTATATTTTACTTAAAAGTATAAAGTATAAGCTATATTTAATATTTTTTAATAAATCTAAGTAGTGTTATTAGAAATATATTAGAGTAAAAAAAGTAGTTTAGTGTAGTCTTAGTAAAAGTAAGTAACTTAGGTGTGTAAGCAACTCGCCTATAGTGTACGTTACTTTAGTAGATAATAAGTAGAAAACTACTAGATACTAAGTAGATTACTTCACTTAGGCTGTACTAAGTAAACTAAGTTATAACTACAATCATCTATTAAATGCAGAGGGACAGCAGTTCTATATACTATGCAGTGCTTGCTAGTACTTGTTGTGCTAAGCAGGTGCTCGCAACTCTTGCCTTGCGAGCATCCCGCCAAGCCTGCGAGCACATCACCGATCCGATCATGTCACGTAACCCTATTGGTCCCTGTGCCCAACCAGACCATCGTAACATCTAGCGGCCGCACAGACTGCACCGAAGAGCGATACCTTTGTTATGCAGATAGTCGTAGTGACCAAATTTTTTTGAGACGCATAGATTTACATTCTGCTATGAATGCGAAGCGAATATACCAGGTAAGTAATTGTAGTTTGAGGACATTGTTTTTCAGTGTTAGCGAATTGGGTTCAATAATGTTGAATGGCGAAAAGGGTATCTTCGTTGAGTTTTCACTCCGGAACGCCAAATGATTAATCGTTAGAGCACCTGCAGTATTGAAGCAGGACACCGTGTTCAATCTTCACAACTATGCCGGGCTCAGATTTCGCGGAGGTCCAAGCAAATCCCCCTTCTCGGCGCCATACCCACCCTTCCCTTCGAGACTCTCGTACGTCTTGCCCTCACTTCTCTTCCCATTACCGTTCCTAGGGCCACGCTCATCAAGATCTTCCTGCAGCCAGCGCAACACCAACTCACCCAGCTGACTATTCCCGGATATGGCTCTCACTCCGGGCTCAGGTTGTACATTCAGCTCTTCCATACTGCCCACCTTCTTGACTTTACCCAACGCCATGTGAACTAGGTGCGACGGCCACATTGCCAAGTTGTCCAGGATATGGGTAGCGTAGACAATCGTGCAAGCCCGCGTCTCCGTCTCGCGCTTCAAGAATGTGAGGAAGTTCGATCGCGACAGCAGATCAAGATCTACGGTGATCTCGTCCAGTAGTAATATCGTCCACGGTCTGAGCAGCCCCATGGCAAGCTGTACTCTTCGTCGCTCTCCGTCCGAGACTGCATGCATGCGCCATGCGAGGTCAATGTCCAGTATCCGAACGAGTTCGTCGCGGCGGTCGCAATAGTAGTCCCCGCCCACGGAGGTGAGGAGGGTCGGCACATCGATGTCGGTGCGTACGATAGGGTTGAGCACCCATTCCAGACCCAGATATGTAACACCTTCTAGACCGAATTTGAAGGGGTCTACGCCAGCGATCGAGACGGAGCCAGCTGGAGCCATACGCTTGCCAGAGAGGAGGCGGAGGAGCGTCGTCTTGCCAGCACCGTTCGCTGCACTATGTCAGCATAAATTCACACGAGCATGGCTTGACCAACTATACCTCCTATCAGCAGCGCCCTGCTTCCTGGCGGCAGGTTGAGGAAGACATCTTTGAGGCCTGAGGAGCCGTCGGGGAAGGCGTAGCTCAGGTTCGTGACGTCAATTGAAGGGGCAAGATCCTTCGTGCTATCTTGTTGCGCCATTCTGAAGACTAATGCCACCGGAGTGGTGAAAGAGGGAGAGCGTCACATTTTCTATTTTGTCAGCCGTCAATCAGAGTGGCTGGAAACGGAGGGCAACCAAAGCTGGAAGAGTGACTGGCACTAGTCCGAAAGAGGAAGGCCGAACACACCCATCATTTTTCGGCTCGCCATCTGCAACGCCAACTGGTGCCTGATTTCTTCATGGACATGTTTCGTGCGCAATAAAAATGGCTAGTGCACCCCTCAGGCCCTTGGTGGCTATCATAGGCGCTACAGGGACTGGAAAATCCGATGTATGTTTACCGTATCTAGCTAGTAACGCAGGAAATTATTGATCGCAGCGGGCAGCTTGCCGTCGATGTGGCGCGAAATTTCAATGGAGAAATTATCAACGGAGATGCCATGCAACTCTACCGGGGATTACCTATCATCACCAACAAAATTCCTGAAGACGAAAAGAAAGGCATTACTCATCATCTGCTAGGCCGCATTGGACTTGAAGAAGAAACTTGGACTGTGGGGAAGTTCGTTCAAAAGGCACTGGTCGTGGTAGGGACCACCCTTAATACTGAGGTTTCAGAAGCTGAGAACGTGCAGATAGATGAAATCCGAAGTCGTGGAAAGCTTCCCATTCTCGTGGGAGGGACGCACTACTATACTCAGTCTCTCCTATTCCAGGATGCACTGGCTGATGCACCCCTTAAAGCAGTCAACATGGCAAAACCGGACTTGTCGATTCTAAGTGAGCCAACTGATGTGATTCTGAAGAAATTAAAAGAGGTGGACCCAGTCATGGCGGATCGATGGCACCCAAATGAAAGAAGAAAGATCCAACGCTCACTGGAAATGTTCCTAAAATCAGGGCAACCAGCTTCGCAGATCTATGATAAGCAACGAATCAAGCAAAACATCTCCTCAAATGAAGGAGCTCCCGGTAGCAACCAGCCAATCAAACTCGGACCCACACTTAGATTTCCTACCCTTGTGCTCTGGGTTCATGCCTCCAAAGACGTCTTATATCCGCGACTAGATAACCGCATCACGAAGATGCTGAACCAAGGGCTCCTTTCCGAGGTCGAAGCTCTCAACTCATTCCGAGCATCCTTGGAAGCTCTCACCGGCACCCCCATTGACCAGACTCGTGGTATATGGGTCTCTATCGGATACAAACAGTTCTTGGGTTATAAATCTGCTCTTAATGGCGGTTTGGCTGTAGATGCAGAGCTAGAGACATTAAAGATGACAGCCATAGAGCAGACACGGTCGGCCACGCGACAGTATGCGAATCGCCAGATTCGTTGGATCCGAATCAAACTTTTGAATGCCCTTCATAATGCTGGGCAGAAGAACAATACATTCCTGTTAGATGGGTCAGATCAAGCTACTTGGGAAGAGAAAGTCCTTTGGCCAGCGAGAGATATCACAGAACGGTTCATTTCCGGTAGCTCACTTCCCTCCCCAACGGATCTCTCCACAACCTCGAGCGAAATGCTGAATCCAAAACGAGACTATGATCTAGCACAACGACCAGATCTTTGGCAAAAGAGGATATGTGAAATGTGTGGAATCGTGGCTGTTACTCAACATGATTGGAATCTTCACCTCAAAAGCCGTAGGCACAGACGAGCTGTGAAGAAGCAAGAAAATGCAGAACATACTCAACAGGAAAAGGTCAATGGCAGACAAGTGGATATAGCCGATCCTGCTCTTGTGTTAGTACCTTAGTCTACTATAGTTACCTACAGACAATCTAGCTAGACACCTGCTGCTAAAGACATGCAACTTCTAGTAGCTATTATAATTCTAGTATACTTAAATATTTAATAAATAAATATTTTATTTTAAAGTATAAAAAATAAAAGTAAAATAATAAAAATCTAAGAAATTTTTTAAAAGTATAAATAATTATAACTTAGAAACTTTTTAAATAAAAAATAAAAAAACTTAAAAAAAACTTTTTAACATACACTATAAGCAAGTTTCTTACACACCTAAATTACTTACTTTTACTAAGACTCTACTAAACTACTTTTTTTACACTAATGCATTTCTAACAATACTACTTAGACACGCTAAAAAAAAAAGTTAAATATAGCTTACACTTTAGACTTTTAAATAAAACATAACACTTTTAAAGTAATATACTATAGTACTATATAAAGTTTTTTAAAAAATAATAAATAACTAACATACTAGATAACTTTTATAAGCTAATTCTACAGCTAACTTATAAAAGCTAGATAATAAAAAAAGTAAGTAATTATTAAGTATATACTTAAGCTATATATATAAGAATTTACCTTTTAGCTAGTAGGCATAGTGTCGCGTATACTAAGAGCCTTGGCTGGGGCTTAGAGCCTGTGACGCAGCTCGGGATCTGGAGATATTATGTTCCGAAGCTTGGTGTATATAAGGAGAGCCTTCAGCTCTCTTAGATAGGGGAGTCACTTCATCCGATCTTCTAAACAGCTACTGCCAGGCTATTTTATCCTCTACACATAGCTAATATAGCTAATCTTTTACACGCTAAGCATAATTTAGGCTATATTAGTATAAACTAGCTTAGTATGTTTATAAAGTAATATACTACGCTAATTTATAAATGTCTTAGAAAAGCGAAGCTTAGTGTAACAGCGTAGGCAAGACAATAGATCTAAATGTAATAGAAATCCACTTACAGGCATATAGAAGTGCGTAGGGACTTAATAACCTAGGAATACTATTAACACCTATAGGCCTTGTACAAAGGATATTAGAAGACTACTAAGCTAGCTAAGAGAAGAGGTGCAACTAAATACTTATAGGAATAAGAGTAACTATAGAGAGTAGGGCTAAGTTAGAGTTAGAGCTAATACAGAGACCCTTTAGATAGGTTCTAAGCTACCTAAGATAGTTAGAAACAATTTATTAGAATTGTTACACTTAGAATTGTAAAGAGTATACATTAGTAGTAAAACTTTAACTTTAACTTTCTCTATTAGTTTTAATCTAAATTAGATAATTAATAGCCTATTTTAAAGCTTATTTTAACTTCTATATTTTCTTTTCATAAATTTAATTCATTACACTAACATTTAGCTAGCTAATTTAAATAGAATTAAAGACTATTTAAAACCTAATAACTATAGTAATACTTAATAAAAGATAAAAGTAAAAAGGTAGTTTTATAGTAGTATATTTATTCCATTAGATAAGGTTAAAAAACTAAGTAAAAAAAGATTAAAAGTAAAAGTAGAAGTATATTATAAATTAAGTTAGTACTAAAATATAAAATAGTATTAATACTTAACTATTAATTTATTAGTACAGTTATGCAAATTAGTCTACTAAATACTTTATCTATTAGAAAACTACTAGATTAGGTATTAAACTAGATATTAGACTTTTAAATTATTATATTATAATAGCAATAGTAGTAGTAATAGTAGGATGTAAAATAGTTTTCTTCTAGAGGCGTTCCTCTCTCTAGAACCCTCTCTATACATAGGCAGAGCTTAGAATAGTAAGAGTAAGAGGTATATAATAGTAGTAGATAAAAAAGCCTTTTTTCTAAAAGCGTTCCCCCTCTAGAACTCTCTCTATACATAGGCAGAGCTTAAAATAGCAAGAGGTATATAATAGTAGTAGATATGTTAATATATAAAGTAGTATATTGTAACGGCACAGGCAAGACAATGGGTCCGAATACGGTAGGAATCTACTCAGAGGCAAATGGGAGTGCGTGGGGACTCAATGACCTGGGAATCTTATTAACACCTAGAGGCCTTGTACGAAGGATATCAGAAAACTAACCAGCTAGCTAAGAGAAGAGGTGCGACTAAATACTTAGGGGGAATAGAGGTAACTGCGGGGGACAGGGTCGAGTCATGTGTTACGACCCACGATTGGACTGTAAGCTACTAACTGTCTGTGCCCCACTGTTTAAACAAACAAGGATGGAATCTCCCTGTTTTCCCGGCTGACAAGTTACGTAACTTAACAGACAAGGAATGGACAAACCTACTAGACTAATGCACGGCCGAGTGCATTGTCTAATAAGCAAGGACTGTTTGCATGCTATGCGCGTTGTGCGCGCTTATAGCTAAGGAGCATGCAAAGCATGTAACCCTATGTATATAGTTTAGGATCCTAACTACCTTTAGAAGTTGTGATTAAAGTTTAGTTTATTATTACATAGACTAAGTAGCTGTTACAATCCTTGCTTTGGGAAGCACTTAGGTCAATGTTGTTTCCTATGATAGGACGGAGGGTAGGGGCTGACGGCAGGGTGTACAGTCCTACGTAATAGCTAATTGTGACGGTCCTACGCAGAGAGCTCTGTCGCGCGTCACATGACGAGCTGCCCGTGCAGCCAATCAGGATATAGGGGGTGCGACTAGCGCAACGCTATTAGTTTGCTTAGCGCTAGCGTCTTTGCTAGCGCCTTAGCGCTGTAAGCACTTCTTCTGCAGAGCTGCCCTTAAAGCTCCCTTTCTCCTCTCTATCTTAGTGTAGCTAAAATAGAGCTAACTTACTCTGCCTTACTTCCTTAGCTTTATATAGTAGTAAAAACAGTGCTTATTATTATATTACACTAAGATTATTTTATTTAGCTAGAGAACAGTAACATAATATCTAGGTCTACTATATAGTTAGCTCTAAAAGCTTAATCTGCTAACTAACTCTTACTTAAATAAATCTGCTAGTATAACTAGGCTAAGCTTTAGTTTGTTAATAATAGCTATCTGCCTTAAAGCCCTAGTTAGGCTAGGTAACTGTAAAAGTAACACTAAGTAATAATTAGATTATTACACTTTATTAAGAAGCTTTAAGCTAGAAGCGCTGCTACTTTAGTTTAAATTAACTGTAGAGGGGGGCCTACTGTACTAACTACTACTGCAACAACGCGAAGAGAGCCGCAGGCTCTGTACAAACCCACGTACAAACCCACCACTAATTAACTATTAGCCCCACCGTTACTAGACCTGGGGCTCACACTACACTATACCTCTGCAGACTGCTAGACCCTAGAGTAGAGGGAAGGAGCTAAGAGCACTAGAATAGAGAAGCTATTAAAAATTAAAATGCATGTTAATTCTACTACCTAGCCTACTAGCAACGCCTATACGCCTAAACTAAGGACGCTGCTATGCTAGGCTTAGTTCTACGCTAACAATATGTTTAAGAAGGACTACGCTATTAAAACTACGCACGCGCACGCTTAGTAAGCTAGAAAAGCACTATTATTTTAAATAAAGGCTACTACCTAGGGTACTACTAATTATAATTTAATTAGCCTCTACCTAGACCTACTAAACCTTATAGCTGTAGATTACACAGTTATAGCAAATAAGCTACTATAGTAGTTATTAAAAGTGTAAGCTTACTAAGACTACACTAATACTTTTACTAAAGTAGTTAATATAGCAGAAGCTAAGTAAGTAAAAGTTAGTAAAAAGCTATAAAAGCTTTAAAGCTTACTAAATAAAACCCTTAAACACTTAGCTAATTATAAAAATAAAGTTAAAAAACTTAAGGCTACTACTATGCTAGTGTGTAATTAATTATTTTTCTTAGATAAAGCTTATTAAGCGCTAAAAGGCACACCTACACTAACTACACTAAGAAAGTAACTATAATTTAACCTAGCTACACTAAAAACACTTAACCTCTTTTATATTAGTACTATAAGCTAGAGAGCTAGGCTAAAACTATTAGCTAAAGCAGAGGATCTGCCTAAGTTTATAAGTAAAGATAATATTAAATTTAATTACTAAAAAGACTTTTTAATAAGTAAGCTACTTTATAACATAAACTACTTTATACTTATAAATAGTAACTTTATAAAAAAGAAAAACACTTAAGTACACTATACTAAAAGTAAAGTAAGTAGTTAAGTACTAAGTTAACTAGTTCTTTACTTTAAAGCCTAAAAGTAGTAAAGTAAGCTAGTAACAACTAAAAATATTATAAGCTTTTTAAAAAAAAGCTTTAAAAATACTAACTAGTAAATAAAAGCTAAAACTAAGCTTTACTAGTTTAAAATAAAGCTATTTTAAGATTTTAGAGACTTTAAGGCCTAGTTTACATGCCTTATAAATAAAGCTAAGCTGCTGCTTAAGTAGTAGAAAGATAAAATCTATAACACTTTATTAAGTTAGCTTTAAGTATATATAAAAACTTACTATAATAACTTAATAGTTAGCTTCTTTAATTATATAAAGTAAGCCTACTAGATATTCTTTTTACTGCAGAGATCTACTATAGAGTTAAGCGCGCAACGCGCGCAGAGAGGTAAAAAAAAGCTTATGTGTTAAAACATTCTTTAACTTACTACTACTACTACTGCCTTAATAACTCTAGTAACACCCTAAGCGTAGGCAGCTTTAATAAAGGATGCTATAACCTGCTACTTATGCTATTAGCTAGGATATATAAGTTATAACTGCTCTTACACCTGTGCTAAGAGTAAGGCTATAGAAGCAGCGCAGGAGCTAGACACTGTAAGCTCTAGTAAGGACAGTAAATTAAAAAAAAACTTACTTTAAAGAAAGTTTTCTTCTTAAAGTTAATAAATAAAGCGCTAGCACAAAAGCTACGCAAGCTGCTATTTAGTAGTAAGCCTTTTATGCTGCCCTACTGCGTCTCTGCTAGAGAAATTACTGTACACTTAAATAGTCTTATTAACATAGAGGCTAGCAGCTATAATCTAATCTACCTATAACACCTACAGACAATCTAGAAGCACTTACAG